TCCTCGGCCGGGGTGCTCTGCCTGGCCCGACGACGAGATCCAGGAAGCTCCCCTGGACGATCCCCCGGCCGACAAGGGCTCCACAGAAGAAACCCGCGACGTGACGGAAACCGGCAACGACCCCATGGACCCCGCCCGGCCCGGACCGCTGCAGACCGAAGCCGCTGCCCGGCCAGGCTGCTGCAGATGCAGGCGGGTCGGTTCCAAGTCGCTGATCGCCATGGTCGTGGTCGCGTTCGGGCTCCAGGTCCTGATGCACGCGGTGAAGATCTACGACGCCGCCGTGAAGCCCCTGGACGACGACGTGTACTTCGCGCTGGTGTGGCTGTCCAACTGCCACGCCTTCGCCAACGCCATCCTGTACAGCGTGGTCCACAGGACCTTTCATCTGGCCGTGGTCATGGACTCCGTCGCCCTTCTCCGGTTCCTGCTCCGCTGCTGCGGGGCACGGGTGGAGCCGGAGGACCAGCCGCCCACCAGCATCTGAGGACCAGCAACACTACTTCGCTGTTCATGTGGTAAGTGATCTCACAAGTCATACTAAGCGTACAATTGTACTGTCCGTTCTCTACATTTCGCCCATTGTTTGAATCCTGGAATCCTGATCTTTTAGTTCTCCGTAGCTAGTCGTTGTCGGCAGACACTGCCCCCTCCCGTCTCCTGCTATTAGCTGGTCATTGGAATCCCTTCCTCGATCAAGTTATTGTTTGGGCATCCTAGCCTCTACAAGTCAGAAGCGGCTGGAAAGAGTAGAAATCGGCCAAATAGAAAGATAGCCAGATGAGTTGGTCTGACAAAAGAGTATAGTCCGATCCGGGTGCGGCAAACTGTACTCTTAACTCTACTTGGCCAATTTTTATTCTTTCCAGCCGCTTACGAAGCCTGGTAGAGGCTAGGGCCATCTCTCTCATTAGTACATGTACTTGCTTGGCATAGTTTGTAAAGTCGCATATTTTTTGCCACCGCTTTCAGAACTCCGTCCCTGGGTCCTATCCGGGGTTCAGTACGGCGGCTCGGAGAAGATACATGTAGCCCGAGGCGTTCTGACGTCGCGAGAAAAGAAGATTGAAAAAAAAAACTGCTCTGATTTGCAACGACATTCGCGATGAACAATATGTTAAGCCGGTGCCACACAGTCGACGACTATCAGCCGTATTTCGTGATTACGGAGAGGTCGCAAAATAAAAAAAATCACCCGAGTTCCAAGTGTATTTGCCTCCAAAAAGTATCCGCCGATCAACTTCCCTGCTGTGTAACGAGGGTAAACATCAGAAAAAAACAAACAAAGAAACAAACAAACAAGCAAGCAATCTATTTATCTAGGTACATTCATCGTTAAACATGATATAGACATATCTATGAAACACCCTGAGACATGCTATCAAATGTACATATGTACATGTATATAGACATTGTACTGTACTCTTACTTAGGTTTAGGCTTGCGCCTATTTTTGACGTGCTTTTATGTGTCTAACTGTCTTTATCGGGCTCTATTTTTGGTTCTACTGGTATCTTTTTTCGCCCGCCAGACTTCGGGTGACGTATAAGTGTATATCTTGCCTTGCCAATTTTATCCTGTTGGTCTTATAGGCACCAAAATCTCGGAGATTATTGTACTGGGTTCTCGAGATTATATTCTTGGTCCCACAATATGATGTGTGGTGGTAGTATTGATGCTGCAAGGCCAGAAGACTACATGTAGCTGTTTTCCATTCGTGTCATTATGATTAGAATTTGGACACCTAGCGACTATGTGGGCGGAAAAGTGGAGCACTGTCGCACTGTTGGTGTATTTAGCAGACATATATATATATATATATATATACTGATATTATATTCTTTAATTGAATATTATAATATCTAGATTATGACCTGCTTTGTATATTTTTACGTATTTTGTAATGCACTGTACTGATATTTTTGTGTGGGCGAGTAACATGGAAAGGTGCGTAGGTGCATTGGTTTTGCCCTAGCTCTCTTTCACATTGTGATAAACTCACATACACTGCAATTTAACAAGGCGCAAGTGGTGTCATTTGGAAAGCCTGTATTGACTGTATTGAAGCATTGTCGGTGCTAGAATGTGCCTGTATATGTGCTGCGTATGTGGAAACCCAATTGGTCACCACTTGTATCTTAATAGTTTACTGTATGGAAGTACTCTTAGCGCTAGTAGCTAGAACATATCTGTATGTGGGTTGTGCACGTACTGAGTACTTGTATTAAGCTGCTTAAGTAATTGGTAAAGAAAATTGTCGGCTAAACGTGCTTACTGTATAAAAGTGAACAGCTCAACAACAAATAATACAAAAAGAATTAAGAGAATGTATTTTTTGATAAACAGTGCCGATTTAACCAACGTAGTTCGGATTGCACAGCATTGACAGCCATATCCGTACATGGAGAAAACTATCTATCTTAGGCCTGGGAAACAAATGCTGTTTTTCCGACTTCAGTCCTGAAAAAGGGGCGATCGGTAGGGCGTATCAAGGACACGTTTACTCCATGAAAATTTGCTTCTGAAAATGTGTGCATTCGCGTTTCAGAGCGTTTGAAATTCAGAAGTCAGATCGAAAAATGCCAGCAGTCAACCCTAAACAAAGCTAGGGCAGGCGGGGCTCTGATGGGGTCGCTCAGGAAACCGGAAACGCAACATTTTTTCCAGGCCCTACCATCAACTATGTGAGTAACAAAATATCTGTATACAGCACAGACTGTTATATGTGACATGAATGTTGTAAAATAAATATTTCAAAATGTAAATACTTGGTCCCATAACTACTATTTTCCATTAAAAACTATAACTGTCCTTTGAAATATAACACACACAAAAAATAAATAAATAGTCCAATCAAGGTTTTAACCGAATATTAAATAATTTTCCTTAAAAGAAAAAATAAAACAAAATTTCAATCAAAAGTCCACACTAAAAAACACAACTGTCGTTACCATCAAAGTGTCATGACCAAACTTCAGGCTTTATAAAACGTACACATGATCACAGACATTCCTTGTCTGCTATGGTCTCTTTCAACGTTGCTTTCCCATCATACATGTTTGTATCTTCCAACTAAAAAAACGCACTCAGTGCACAATCCACCTAGGAAAACGCCAATAGAGAAGAATACATGTAGAATATACTGGACAAGATTGGCAAATTTACAAAAAGTTCGAAGGAACAAATTACATGTAAAGATCTAAGAGTGGCATTTACACCGACAAGTAAAATAAATGCCATACATCGTAAGATTTCTTTTTTTTTTTTAATTTTTGCAGGAAAAGAAAATTGACAAGTCGTACAAATGAAAACTTGTCAGGACTCGTGGAGTCTGAAGATCCGCGTCAACCTTGTTATTCGGCAGAAATGACATCCATGTACCTACGGGGGTTAAGCATTGTGGTTACACGTGTGAATCATGTCTGGTAGAGATTCTTTCAGAAACTGCGACATTTAATTAACTGTGCCCGGGGGGGGGGGGGCGAGGCACGTTTTCATCTTGAGAAGAAACGCGTGTTTGGATTTGAAAGGCAACCTGCGGGTGCGTACCATGTAGGTGACAACATTTTCATGACAACCGCTATTGGGAACCGGTGTTTGCTAGTCTACCAGACTGTGCTGGCTATAGGGAGACAGTATTTGCCAGGGGAGTTTGGAATCCATAGAGTTTTACTTGGATTGAATGTTACCTTACTGAGCTGCAGCTTACTCTAGAGGCCAATTGGCTAATTCTATGCTGCATTCTACTATCCACAACCCCTTAAGAAGGCCTGGTAGAGGCTACGTGTTTTACAAGAATCTCAAGAAATGCAGATGAAGATCACAGTTCATGTTGATATATGTCCATGTCAGAAAGTTGCTCGCCCTCACCTACACTGCACTTTCTCTGCAACAAAGGTTACTTTTCCAACAGAAACATATTTGGGAAAAGTTACGTCTTACTTGTTATTTTTCTCTCCCTTCAGCTTCAAATACTGTTGTATCAATTTTTCAAGCAATATGATCTCCAGACATCTTTGTCAAATTGAAAAAAAAATTGTATAAACCTGCTAAAATTTGTACTGATGTTATCCATAAAATCTACTTGCTGTGGCCAACTGAGAAGACATGGCTTTCTTCAACTGTTTGGTGCCAAAATATGAACCGAATTGTACATTTCTGATATATATATATATTTCTTTGAATTAGATTAAATAAATGAAGCTGCTAATCTGAGAGCCAAGAAATTAAATTAGTATGGCCTGATAACACCCGAAAGCTGAGTGGTTTTGTCAAGGATTCCTAACAAAAGACCATGTACCTGAGAGAAGTCTGGAATCACACTTGATACCGAGTCTGCATTAAACGTTATCTTATCCTAACTACCAGGAAGAGTATTCAAGTAACCATCATCATTGCTGGCTAAACACTGATGTTCCTGAACACTATAATCAAAATAAGACGTAACATCTACTAACACCATTCTACCAGGTCAAACATGTATATATCTGCCACCCTGAAGAAAATGCATCTAAAGAGATGTTCAATGCTACATGTGCATCTCTCGGTATAATGCACTCCTGCACATTTCAACTGTGTATACCAGTGGGTGCTCCACTAGAGTGGCATATATATGAAACTGGCAGGTAAATGTTAACAAAGGTTATTCAACAAATAATAAAACAGTGAAGACTGAAAGGAATTCAGTTGGCTAAAGATTGGAATGGAGACTAAAACCCTACATGAGAACTGAAAATCTCAGTAGATATGAGTACACTGTACCTGTAACCTCCATTAACATCTATCCGGGTTACATAGTCATTTATGTACAATGTATATCCACCATTTGAAAAACGGTGTGTTTACCAATTGGCCATCATTGACCAACAGTCTCCAAGGCCAATGGTTACTACCTTGGCACTTTAGGATCTGCATGGAGATTGTATGTAAAAAAAATGTTTATGTTCATGTTTGCACATGCACAGGTCTTTGCCTGTACCTAAACCGTATACGTACACCTGCACCTAAAACTTATTAATTACTAACTGTACTAAGAAACAGTTCTAACACTACATGTTATAAGATCTGTACTCTGAGATTGGGGTGGTCAAAACTGTGTCCTGTAGCTGTGTAACTGCTGGGCCTCCTGGTGTAGGGGTCTGTGAGGCTGATGTAAGTATAGCACAGGCTACAGAACACACTGCAGATGGGAGAAAAACATAGCGGCCGTCAATAACTTCATCAACGTTCGTACGTCAGAGGAAATTGACTCTTAACCACAAACTGAGTGGCAATTACCTGGTCTAGCTATATACATGTCCAAGCCAACCAGGATCAGGAAATCTAATTCAGCTATGAAAATGAGATGATGGAAGGATTAATATATTTAATTGGATCATCCTTGCTGCAACGTCACCAAGCTGAAAGGTTCAATGGAGGCCATTCAATCCCAGAGGAGGGTACAAATGTAGCTGAGGAGCTACTTTAGATCAGTAGGGGAGAGTTAGG